CCACATCGAAGCTGATCAGTTTGTCGTTTGTATTTAGCTTGAGATTGCTGAATCAAAATCAAAAAAATCAAAATTTTTGAGTGAAGGACATACATTGGGTTGTTAGGTGTCTTGTGTCCAAATTTGGTGTCAATTCGTCCAGTGGTTTTTGAGTTCTCTTAATCCCACAAATGAGTATTACATTTATTTATATATAAGACTAGCCATCTCCTGCCACGCATTGCTGTGGCCCAGTCTGGAGATCTGGAAAATAAAGTAATGAGAAAGTGTTGGTTTCTAATATATGTAATTTCTTTATGCTTGTGGGTAAACAGTATTTCTTGCTGTTTCTTTCTCAGTGTTGATGTAGAGATTTCTGGTTTGCCTACTCTGGAACATGCAACATAGAATTGTCCTTCTTTCGGGGTCCCTTTCAAATCTATGATACTATATCTCTCTCTGTGTGAATCATATCTATCTATCTATCTATCTATCTATCTTTATGACTGGATGGCTCATTGTCAGGAGGGCTCTGATTACATTTTTTTGCCCTGGTGAAGGGAGTTGGACTGGATGTCCTTAAGTATTTTCTGTTGGTCATGGGGGTTCTGTGTGGGAAGTTTGCCCCGATTCTGTCGTTTGTGGGGTTCAGAATGCTCCTTGATTGTAGGCAAACTATAAATCCCAGTAACTACAACCCCCAAATGTCAAGGTCTATTTCCTCCAAACTCCATCTGTGTTCACATTTGGGCATATTGAGTATTCCTGTCAAGTTTGGTCCAGATCCATCATTGTTTGAGTCCACTGTGCTCTCTGGATGTAGGTGAACTACAACTCCCAAACTCAAGGTCAATGCCCACCAAACCCTTCTAGTGTTTTCTGTTGGTCATGGGAGTCCTGTATGCCACGTTTGGTTTAATGCCATAATTGGTGGAGTTCAGAATGCTCTCTGATTGTAGGTGAACTATAAATCCCAGGAACTACAACTCCTCATAATTTTTTGAGTGATGGCCACTCCTTGTGTTGTGAGACATTTTGTTGCCAAATTTGGTGTGATTTCGTTCACTGGTTCTTTTGTTTTTAAGGTACTCATTATGCACAGAGCATTTTTATATATATATAGATTTTATATACCGCCACTCCCCGAAGGCTCGGAGTGGTTCACAGTATACACATGTAATGCATAACATTAAAATCAAGGAAAAAATCGATCAGCCAGGTTCAAATGCCAGCCTAAATAAATAAGTTTTAAAAGCTCTACAAAAGGATAGTAAATCTCTGAGAGCTCGTGTCCCCACTGGCAAGGCATTCCACAGGTAAGGAGCCACCACCGTAAATGCTCTACGCCTAGTAGACATCAGGTGAAAGGTCCTAAAATTGGGAACTTCAAGTAAATTCTGGTCGTGTGAACGGAGTGATCTCTAGGGTTTGTAGAGGATGAGGCGGTCTCTCAGGTATTCTGGCCCCAAGCCATATAAGGCCTTGAATACTCTCCATGAAGAAATTGGCCGCTTGCTATTGTGGTTGAAGTAGTTCCAAAAGGAGATTGCCAAATACACAAAGTCAAAGTAAGAACAGAGTTAGAAACTCACAACAAAAAGTGTAACAGTAAACAAAAAGGAATTTACTTGTATTGAAAATCAGCACCTTAACTCCTTCCAGGGTCTGACCAACAAATGATTACTTGATGGAATAGATGGAAGTTTGGAACTTAACTGCCCTTCCACACAGTCATATAACATAGAATATCAAGGCAAAAAATCTCAGAATATCTGCTTTGAACTGGGGTTTGTTTTGACATGGTTTCTAACGTCAACCTATGGTTGTTGATCTAATCACAGTGACACATATTTAGGTACAGTCTGATTGAATTAGTGTGGGCCAAAATACCCTAAAGGCATCAGATCCCATTTGATCTTGAAAGCTAAGCAGGATTAGAACTTGAAACAGACAACAATTACCAGGTACAGTAGGCCATATTTAAGAGGAAGGAACTTGCAAAACCACCTCTGGGTATTCCCTGCCAATGAAAGTCCTATGAAATTGATGGGGTCACCATAAGTTGACAGGTGGCTTGAAGACTGGTACACACACAGAGAGAATGTAATTGATGTAAGTGCTTACTTTGAGGACTAGCTGGGATGAAATAATTTACTATGGATGGTTATAGGGAGCACTTGCTTTCCTTGTTCCAACAGGTCTAGTAGCTATTGTGTATTTTCCAGACACAATTCAAAGTGCTGGTTGATTTATAAATCTCTACACCACTTGCCCAGAGGCTATTTGAATGATTGTATCCATTCACATGGGCCCAGCCAGTCTTTGAGACCTCTGGTGGAGGTACTTCATGCAGCTTCACCATCCTCAGGCATGTTTGGTATGAGAAGACCTTCTCCCATGAGGTTTGGGAGGTAGATGCCTTCAATGTGCTCCATGGGTATTGACAGGCAAAAGTGGTGATTTTTTTCCAAAGTAATAAAATGTGTTTTGTACTGTTTTTATTTCTTTCCTTTTAATTGACATTTTTAATACTATAGGCAATTTTAATTACAGCTGGACCTACACATCATGCAGAATTAGAAGTGTGCATTCTGTTTTACTGCATATCCCTAACTCTGGTGCATTTACAAAATCTGTTTTTGAAGGAGATTCTTTTCCTCAGCTTTGTAGATGTCACAGTGCACTGCAAAAGATAACAATTCCTCTTCCCCCCTCTGACCAGGACTCTTTATATGCCACAAATTTGGTCACAAGAGGGTCAAGTAAACAGCAGTGCTAGGATTAAATACAGAATAAGCTGTCCTGTGATTTTTCTATTTTCTTTACAGGAAGTATCTATCTTTTATGACTGAGAAGAAGATATATTTTTAATTGTGATGCCAATGCCTTGCTGCATGAGATTTCCACTACTAAATGGTAAGATAGCAGCCTTTGCTTCTCATTGACGATCAAAATCTGAATAAATAAGCTAAACATGTTTTAAAGGGAAAGGGAAACCAATGACAAAATGTAAAAGAGCAACATGTACAAATGAATGTACATGTTGCTCTTTTACATTTCGTCATTTGAACATCGAGAAAACCAAAGTGCTCTTTCAGCAGTCACTAACCAACCTATCTGCAATGCCAGAAATACAGCTTAATGGTGTAACATTAGAAAGTGTTGGCAGCCACCTCTCCACAAAAGTCAGCATTGACACTGAAATACAACACTGCCTGAGCTCTGCAAGTGCAGCATTTTTCCGAATGAAGCACAGATTGTTTGGGGACCGGGACATCTGTAGGGATACCAAGGTACTTGTTTATAAAGCTATTGTACTCCCAAACCTGCTATATGCCTGCGAAACATGGACTATCTACAGATGTCACATGCAACTCCTGAAACGATTCCATCAGTGTTACCTCCAAAAAATCCTGCAAATCTTTTGGGAAGACAGGCAGACAAATGCCAACGTGCTGGAAGAAGCAAAGACCACCAGCATTGAAGTGATGGTCTTCCGCCATCAACTCTGCTGGACTGGCCACGTTGTCCGAATGCCCGATCACCATCTTCCAAAGCAGTTGCTCTACTCCAAACTCAAGAATGGAAAATGGAATGTTGGTGGACAGGAAAAGAGATTTAAAGATGGGCTCAAAGCCAACCTTAAAAACTCTGGCATAGACACTGAGAACTGGGAAGCCCTGGCCCTTGAGTGAGTACTTTAGCTGGAGGTGAGCTGTGACCAGCAGTGCTGTAGAATTTGAAGAGGCACGAATGGAGGGTGAAAGAGAGAAATGTGCCAAGAGGAAGGCGCGTCAAGGCCGACCGAGACTGCCTTCTGTCTGGAAACTGATGCCCTTACTGTGGGAGAACATGCAGGCCAAGAATAGGGCTCCACAGTCACCTATGTACCCACTGCCAGGACACCGCACCTGGAGGACAAACTTACTCGGACAACGAGGGATTGCCTAAGTAAGTAAGTAATCTAGATCACAGAACCCAACTTTCTTAAATTAGAATTTGGAGCATCTGGATTCCACAGCAAGACATTTTGAATTTTGTGCTGGGAAAAAGACAAGATAATGTATAAATAATATTTTATATATATATATATATATATATATATATATATATATATATATATATATATTCAGTATTGAGTTAATGTTGGAAACTGCCTTGAGTTGCCAACTGGCTAAGAAAGGCGGTATACAAATACAGTAAATGAATAAATAAATAAATGCGGTCCTGTCTATGCCAGTCAATCCCTGAGTCTATGACTAAATGGAATATGCAGGTGAATATGATTTTTGTCTCCAACAATTTGTCAGTGAATTCAATAACATCATTTGTGGACAATGTTCTTGGATCCAACATATGTACATGTACAAATAATGTGCAAAAAGCATTTTTCCTGCCGAAGTGCCAAAAGCTCATTGTGTGCTCCTAGGAACACAGTCTATTGAAATGCCAGAATCTCAGCCAATGAAACAGACACTGGAATTACATGAACAATATGTTGCAAGATACAATGAGCTGGTCCTCTCAAAATGGGCTCTCCCAGGAGTGTGCGTGAGAAAGGTAGCAGAACCCTTCCAGTGCGTTAGCAAATTTTTATCCCCTCTTCTTATCGGGACTTTGGCAACTAAGAGATAGAAACAAGGTTAAGGTAGTATTCTAATCTCTAGGCCCACTTAGTCAGTCTGACAATAATATACAGCTCAGAATTAATGAAGACACATGAGAATGTTTGCATTGCAAGGCGACAGAGATAACAAAAGGTGAAAGGTCAAGTCCATTAGCAGAAAATAACATTTTAATTCATGCTGCATTTCATGGGCTTAGCCTATTCCCAGTGAATCCACAGTTGACTAACCTGCGGCTAAACAACCACCCTATTCAAAAAGGGAGAGAAAAGTGAGTATAACTCAGCATTAATAAAATGAACTGCCCTGGTCTTTCTTTTCTTAACTCCATAAAGGAAACAATACACAACAAGAATAAAGGGCTTTGTTTAGGGGGAAAATCACTATTCAACTCACCTGAAATTTCTTCTTTGCCACAAAATACTGCATTCGACGTATCACCTTAATGGCAGAACGGTGATGTTCTCGCAAGCTGTGGGAAAAATGAGAAGGGCGAATCGGGTGAAAAAGAGCATCTCTGTCCAGATAATAAGGATAATGACCCTCAGAATAAGTGCTTTGGTAACAAGTGAATGTTTCTAGAAGGGGAAACTACTCTTTCTGCGGACAAAACATGCTACTATTATTGTACAAAGGAAAAAGCAACTAAAACCCAAAGTTTTATCTCTACGATTTATGCTAAGGCCTAATGTTTTTCCCAGTGTTAAGTAGAGAGAAATGTATGAAACCTAGCTCTGGCTCAGCTGAATCTATCAAGTTATCTTTCCCACTCTCCTTCTCTCAAAAGTCACTGTAATTCATGGTGAAAAGTAAAGGTTTCAGATTTCTGTGTCTCCTGATGGATACAATTCTAGAAAACAAGTACTCTTTCCACACACTTTTTACATGACTTCCCCTTATAAAGGAGATAAACGGTAAAACAACTTTCATCCAGGATTTAATCCTGGATGAACGGGCAGATCTGGCGTGCATCACAGAGACCTGGTTGGACGAAGCGGGAGGTGTAAATTTAACCCAGCTTTGCCCACCAGGTTTCTCTGTGCAGCACCAGCCGAGATCCGGAGGGCGGGGAGGCGGAGTTGCAGTGGTCTATAGAGATTCCATTCTTCTGACCAGGGCCCCCATCCCGCAGTCAACAAATTTTGAATGCGTCCACCTGAGGGTGGGTGACCGGGACAGATTAGGGATTCTGTTAGTGTACCGTCCACCTCGCTGCACTACAGACTCCCTGACTGAGCTAGCGGGGGTGGTCTCGGACCTGGCATTGGAGTCCCAACGGCTGCTTGTGCTGGGGGACTTCAATGTCCATGCCGAGGCCGCCCTATCGGGAGCGGCCCAGGACTTCATCTCACCAAAGCCAAAAAAAGAAAAAGAAAAAAAAAAACAAAAATAAAAAAAACAAGAAAAAGGCGAGAAAAAAGAAAAAAGAGAAAAGAAAAATACTTAAATGAAAAAAAGGAAAAAAAAAATAAAAAAAAAAAAGAAACGAAAGAAAAGAAAGAAAAAAAAACTAGAGAAAAAACAAAAGAAAAGAGATAAACTAAAAAGAAAAAAAGAAGCGTGGCTCAGGACTTCATGTCTGCCATGGCAACCATGGGGCTGTCCCAACAGGTATCTGGCCCCACCCACAGTGCTGGACATACATTGGACTTGGTTTTCTGCCAGGGATGGGAGGAAGGTGGCGGTGTTGAGGAGTTATCCATCTCTCCGTTGCCATGGACCGACCACCACCTGGTCAGCTTTAGACTCACTGCACCCCCCAACCTCCGCAGAGGTGGAGGACCCATTAAGCTGGTCCGCCCCAGGAGGCTTATGGATCCGGATGGATTCCTGACGGCTCTTGGGGAATTTCCCGCCACCTCGGTTGGTGATCCTGTTGATGCTCTGGTCGCTCTCTGGAATGGGGAGATGACTAGGGCAATAGACACGATCGCTCCAGAACATCCCCTCTCAAGTAGCCGAGCTAAACCAGCTCCTTGGTTCACCGAGGAGCTGGCAGCGTTGAAGCGAAAGAAGAGGGAACTAGAGAGCGTGTGGCGTTCGGATCCGAGCGAGCCAAATCGAACACGGTTTGTGTCCTTTTTAAGGGCATATGCCGCGGCAATAAAAGCCGCAAAGAAGACTTTCTTTGCGGCCACTATTGCGTCTGCAAAGAACCGTCCGGCTGAACTGTTCCGAGTTGTCAGAGGCCTATTAAAACCCACCACTCAGGATGGGTGCCCTGATGACTCGGCAGCTCGCTGCGAAGCTTTTGCTCGGTTCTTTGCAGACAAAGTCGCTTTGATCCGCTCTGGACTGGATACCATATTAACGGCAGTCTCTGAGGATGTAACACGAGCATCTGCTTGTCCGGTTTTGATGGATTCATTTCAATTGGTGAAACCTGAGGATGTGGACAAGATACTTGGAGGGATGAGAGCGGCCACATGCATCCTAGAACCCTGCCCATCCTGGCTTTTAAAGGAAGCCAGAGGGGGATTGGCTGAGTGGGTAAAGGTGGTGGTTAATGCCTCCCTTCGGGAAGGCAATATTCCAGCGAGCTTAAAACAAGCTATAATAAAACCGCTGTTGAAAAACCATCACTGGACCCCACTCAATTCGACAACTATCAGCCAGTTTCCAATCTCCCCTTCTTGGGCAAAGTCTTGGAACGTGTGGTGGCCTCACAACTCCAGGTATTCTTGGTAGACACGGATTATCTGGATCCGGCACAGTCTGGCTTTAGGCCGGGGCATGGTACCGAGACAGCCTTGGTCGCCTTAGTGGATGATCTGCGCCGGGAACTGGACAGGGGGAGTGTGTCCCTGTTGGTTCTGCTGGACCTCTCTTCGGCCTTCGATACCGTCGATCACGGTATCCTTCTGGGACGCCTTGTGGGAATGGGTCTTGGGGGTACTGCCTTGCAGTGGCTCCGCTCATTCCTCGAGGGTCGGTCTCAGAAGGTGTTACTGGGAGACTCCTGTTCAACCCCACAACCTTTGTCTTGTGGGGTTCCTCAGGGTTCAATACTGTCTCCCATGTTGTTTAACATTTACATGAAGCCGCTGGGCGAGATCATCCGGAGTTTCGGAGTGCGATGTCATCTGTACGCAGATGATGTTCAACTCTGTCACTCCTTTCCACCTGCTACTAAGGAGGCTGTCGAGGTCCTGAACCGGTGCTTGGCCGCTGTGACGGTCTGGATGGGGCGAACAAATTGAAATTGAATCCAGACAAGACAGAGGTACTCCTGGTTAGTCGCAAGGCCGAACAGGGTATAGGGTTACAGCCTGTGTTAGACGGGGTCGCACTCCCCCTGAAGACGCAGGTTCGCAGTTTGGGTGTGATCCTGGACTCATCGCTGAGCCTGGAACCCCAGGTTTGAGCGTGACCGGGGAGCATTCACACAGTTAAAACTTGTGCGCCAACTGCGAGCGTACCTTGGGAAGTCTGACTTGGCCACGGTAGTCCACGCTCTGGTTACATCCCGTCTAGACTACTGCAACGCTCTCTACGTGGGTTGCCTTTGAAGATAACCCGGAAGCTCCAATTAGTCCAACGGGCGGCAGCCATGATACTAACAGGAGCGGGGCGCAGGGAGCATACAACTCCTCTGCTGCACCAGCTCCACTGGCTGCCGATTTGCTACCGGGCTCAATTCAAAGTGCTGGCGTTGGCCTTTAAAGCCCTAAACGGTTCTGGCCCAACTTATCTATCCGAACGTATCTCAGCCTATCAGCCCACCAGGACCCTAAGATCTTCTGGGGAGTCCCTGCTCTCTATCCCGCCGGCTTCACAAGTGCGGCTGGTGGGAACGAGAGACAGGGCCTTTTCTGTGGTGGCCCCTCGGCTTTGGAACACCCTCCCCATAGAGGTACGATCAGCCCCTTCGCTGATGGTGTTTCGGAAAAGATTGAAGACATGGATGTTTAAACAAGCATTCGGTTAATCCGTTGCAACGAATTTTGATGACTAAAGGATGGGTAATCATGGACGACGAATTTTGAATTGCGATTTCAGTTACGAGATGCATGGGATTGTTATTGGTGGCCCAATAACTTGTATTGTATATGTGTTTTATGCTTTTAAATTGAATATTGTTTTTTAATTGTTGTAAACTGCAATGAGCCGCCGATTTAGGCTGAGATATTAGCGGTATACAAGCGCATAAATAAATAAATAAAATAATAAATAAAGAGGGGATGGACGCAACTGAAAAAAGTGCTTTGTGCAACACTTCATTTTTCAGAAGATATATATTGTCCTGAATGGATGCAAGCCAAGTTAAAAGAGAATACAGCACTTATACGTATAAATCATAATGATGAACTATATCAGAATATGAAATAGAAATCTTCAACATGATCACATTTAAATGGAATCATGACTATGGGAGAAAAATAGTCAACTGCAAAATAACTGACAATTAGAGGGGGTTTTTTTTAAAAAAAAGTAGAAATGTTACAAAAGGGAAGAGTAAATAATATTTTGAACTTGAAGGAATTGTTATTTCACAGTTATTTTGAATAAAGAATTATAAGGCAATAGTTGGATTACAAAAAGAGCTACTCTGGAGCATGTGGCTTGTGAAGGCTGCACAAGCTTTAAGCCACAAGCGCCCCCACCCCCTCGAGGGAAATGTTTAGTGCATTATATAAAACCTTTAAAGAAAAAAAAATACCCAATGCCTATCATGTTAATTTTAACAGAAGAAAACTGCCTTTGTGTAGAACTCCAGTATGAATTTTGTTGGATGTGTGCCAGGCAAGACTGTTCTTTTCATTCAAGACAATAATTAATAGCTTCAGTAAAGTCAATTTAATGCTAGTGAAAGACAAGAGTCAGGCAACTGTATTCTATCACGGCAGCCACATCACACTCCTTCAGCTCTAGAGCTTGGGAGGATGGCATGTTTACATTTATTACTTGAGGGAATGACAAGAGGAATGGTCCCACATGGTGCCACTGGACAGCAGCATGGACTGAGGACTCCAGTTTGCAGTCATAATGGTGGAAACCTTGAAATATAAACCTTGACAATTGGAAGAGATGGAAGAATGTTCTATAAAATAGCTCTTCAGCTTATTACTTAAATGTAATTTATGGCCCCTTATTCATAGAATCACAGAATTTGGATCTAAACAGTTGATTTTAAAGTAGATATAAGTGATTTTAATGTTTGTGTGTATTTATAGTTTATGTCCCAGTATTAAATATTTGCCATATATATGTTTTGCTCCGCCCTGAGTCTCCTGCAGGGCGAGAAGGACGAAATCTAAATATTTAAAATAAATACTAGTAAATAATTATAAACTTGGGCCTCATACCACTTCATCACACTAGAAGCTCCAGCTTCTCATACGGGAACATGAGAGAAGCCTCCCACAAGGATGATAAAACCAAACCAAAAAACATCCGGGTGTCCCCTGGGCAACGTCCTTGCAGACGCCCAATTTTCTCACACCAGAAGCGAGTTGCAGTTTCTCAAGTCGC